GGGGTAAGTTGAGTTGGGGTAGGTTGGGTTGAGTTGAGATAGGCTGGAGGGGTAAGTTGAGTTGGGGTAGGTTGTGTTGAGTTGAGATAGGCTGGTGGGGAGTTGGGGAAAGCTGAGTTGGGGTAGGCTGGGTTGAGCTGAGAAAGGTTGTCGTTGGGTCATGGTGAGCTAGGATGGCTTGCAAAATATATTATTGAGGCCACTGGACATCTGACAAGTCTGCCTTATGAACATTCCCAGACAAGAACAGTCTGCTGTCTCTGTTTGAGCTCTCTTGCCCAAACAGATGAAGAGCACATCCAACAGCATTTCCAAGAACAAATAACAAACGTCTGTCCTGAACATGTTACTTGATGAGGCTAAACACTGATATCCTGTTGTAACAATCACTATAACCATTAGTGTCTTATTAATCACATTCATCTAATGTCTTTGGAATTTCCAAACTGCCATGACAGATGTCTGTATGGCATTGATAAAACATGTAAACCACCATGAAGCAAAGTAACATGTCATATAGTTACTTAATGACCACAAAATGCGCGTAAAATCTTGCTTTGTGTCACCTCAATGTGTACAATGCTTGGTAGCAACAGTTAATAAAGACAAACTCATGCGTGTTTTGAAAAATTTCAGGACCATCTGTTAAATTCCAAAGCAGCAGTGCAGTGAATCTACTGTCAGTCACACCAAATGGTAAGAAACCACTTTGCACATCATCCCAGCTTTTAGGGGAAAAATAATGGCCCCTATTCCATAGCAGTTTAAGCCATTTCAGGTTTTGCTCATCATCAGCAGCAATGGAAAGAAGGAATAGAAAACAGACAGTCAATGGTACACATTCGTCTACAAAGATAAATTATTCAAAAGTTTCCTAAATGGCCATACAACATTACCAGTTAATACATTATCTATAATAGGACTTGGAAGGTGCACATGAAAGTCTCATCCCTTCAACTATAGAGAGCTTTAAATAAATCATACAAGCCTGCCACACCTTCTGAAAAAAAACTTGACTTTATTGCGAGTGAGTAACTCCAGTGCCAGGAGTTTCAGGATTATGGGGAGCATTTAGAACATTTCAGGTTCATGGAGAAGTCCAAATGTAGGCTCTAGATAGAGTACATCTAGCTCATTCCTTTATTTTGTATTTATTATTTGTACTTGGACAACAACACGCTAACAAACCAACAATTCTCTAGCTTCGACTCCAGCTTCGCCCACCTCTACAACGTCATCGAGCACAAGATCATCTTCCAACTCTACAATGTCATTTAACACAACATCAACCAACTCTACAACACCATTGAACCCAACAGTGTCATCCAGCTCTAATTCAGCGGTTCCTTCTGCTACGATTGGAGCTCTCACAGTAAGTAAACTGTGATGCTATTTGCAGTAATTAAATCCATGCATTTTGTTACTCCAAACACACAGATAATTTACTAGTCAGATGAATTCAGTAAAGCACTCAGCTATCTAAATGAATACACAAACAGACTGCACTGATATTTTGGCACTGTCCCTCTCTAAAATACTGATAGAAAATGATAGTAAAAGACTCCATTTGGAATTGACTCAAACTGTGCACCATATATGAAGCACATGGTTACTCTTTATCATGTAGCACACATGTTGACACCTTAGAATAATGTAGAGAGCTCTTCAGCTCTAATTTAGATGGTTTAGAGTTGGCACACATAATGTGAAGATGTTCTATATATGTTCAAGGTCCAAGATTCATTTGCAATTTGATAAATCATTGTCTCTGGCCTCTTTCTTTCTTTACGTTATGGAATCTTTATTCACATCTGAACTATGACCTTTCTGACACGCTCAGACGGTGAGAAGGCTGTGGCAATCTGAATCACGAATCTGTTGGCTGCCTTTCAAATGAGGGATGTTATTAGAAATACCTGGGTGTGATTTAATACTTCAGGCATGTCTGTATGAAATGAGTCAAACCAAAGGAAAACAGAGAACATTCCGATAAAACAATGTCTGCTTTTGTCATCTGCAGGGATCTATCACCAGCGATCAGTGCGGAAAGACTAAAATCTGCAAGGCGGTTCCTAAAAACTGTAACCCGGCTGACACTGGAGACTGTCTTTTCATGTCTGGCAAGAGCACACTAGGCGGGGTCTTTCTTGAGCTCAGTGGACTCTCCAGCGGCTACATTGCTACCATTTTGTCCTCCGACAACATAACGGTGAGAGATCCGTGTGTCGTCAAGTGCCTTCTTCTGCCCTGCTTTAAATTGCCAGCTCCTTCCTTGCAATTCAAGTTAAATCCCATAATGCATTTTCAAAACCGCTCTGGGGCGCAGAATCGCTCGAGGCTTAAATCTGGAGCAGTCAATAGCAACACGTCATTCTGTCCACTAATCCACAAGCAACTTCCGTATCTCCCATCCATTGACCCACCCATCCATTTTCTACTCCGCTTTATCCAGTACAGTGTCACGGGGAGCCGGAGCCTATCCCAGCAAGCAACGGGCGCAAGTTGGGGTACACCCTGGACGGGATGCCAGTCCCTCATAGGGGAGACACAGGCAGAAACACAGACACGCACACACACTCCCACCAGGTCCAATTTCCCCAGAAGCCCATTAACCCACCAGCCTGTCTTTGGACTGTGGGAGGAACCCGGAGCACCCGGGGGAAACCCACACAAACACGGGGAGCATATACAACCTCCACACTGATAGGGCCGCAGGAATTGAGCCCAGGGCCCCAGCACTGCGAAGCAGCAATGCCACCCACTGTGTCTCCGTGCCTGTACCGGTGTGCCTTGCTCAGCGTCCGCCTTCTCTCCGCAGGGAGACGCCTACGTGTGCGCTCAGGCCCAGAACAAGACCTTGAGGTTCCTCCGCGCAGACTACAACAGATCCGCGCTGGTGGAAAAGAGCGCGGTAACTGTCTCCGTAGCAACACTGGGATGTTGTGAAAGGGCTCTGACCTCGGGCTGGAGTACTGGGGCGGAGGGGGACCCCAGCTCCTTGTGATTATCCAGCCGGACCCCTGGACTGGCCAGTGCCCCTGTAGGAGCAGGAACTCTGTCCTCAACCCTCTCTGGATGCAGCCGGCTCAGTATGAGACAGCAGCACTCGCCATGTTCAGTGAGGGGTTGAATTGAAAGAATAAATCTTAGTGACTAAATGGATCAATTTGCATAGTCTTGGTGCTAAAATCCATAGTGTCGGATAGTGACTCTTTATTCAGGTATGTTCTCCGTGTGTCATCTTACCTGATCTTCCTTGTTCCAGAACGACATTGACACCATTAAAGGCTCTTTGAACGGCAGCATCCTCCAGTGCTCCTTCACTGCAAAAAACATCCTTAACAGCAGGAGCAAGGCGGCAGCGACACCATACTATGTTATCCTGGCTGTTGGGAATTTTACGAATGGTGAGTTATCAAACCGGTGGGAGGAAATTCAGTCTCGTTGTTATCAGGTCCAGGCAGATGAAAATCCAGCTTCAACCCAGCTCAGACCACTAAAGCGCGACTCTATCGTTTCTCCCAACAAACTCACAGATGAAAACGATGGGGTCGGACGTTTGAGCATTCTCATTTTTTGTTTCATTTTCCTTTCTCATGTCATCTTGAAAAGACTGCTAAGCCGAAATGGCAGGTCCTACAGTTATGGTCCAGTAGAGACCAGTAAAAACTTAACTGGGGGCATTGCGTTTCACAAACGGTTATGGGAATGTGGAACAAGCTACCTAGTTATGTTCGTGAAACTCTGGCTTCTTTTAAGAAATGGTTGAATGAGATTCTCCAGTCAGGAAAGAGTCTTTATACTGGTCTTTATGGTGGGGATGTGGAACACGTTACTCAATCATGATCCCATCAGGATGATATTCTCTGATCAGTCAGCTGATCATCGTCAAACCGATTAGATGGGCCAAATGCTCATTCTTAGCAGTGATATTTACTATATCAAGTGGTATTTACTGATCGTACAATTCACAGACACGCTGAGCGCGCCTGATGTCCGGCTCCGAACCGATAGCAAAGTGGACTTGGGGCTGTCCAGTGCCAGCGCTCCTGCCCTCACCGCGGTGAACGGTAAGACATCTCCCTGCTTTGTCAGGCTCATCAGGAGTCAATTTCTGGAATTCCATTCCCAGAAACCCGTTTCTGAGCGGCATGAGCCCCTTCAAAGGCTGTGATGCCCAGGACCATCAATTATCCAGTTCAGCATCACAGGGGTGCCAAAGCATGGCCCATCAAACAACGGGAGAAGGGCAGGGTACACCCTGGATGGGACACCAGTCCATCACAGGCAGACAGACACAAACAAAGGCACGCACACACTCACACCAGGGTCATTTTTCACAGCAGACAACAAACTTACCAGTATATCTTTTGTGAGATTGTGGGAGGAAACTGGAGCACCCAAAGGAAACCCGTGCAAACACGCAGAGCACCCCAAGAATTGAACCCAGGACCCCAGCACTATGAGGCAGCAATGCTACCCTCTGAGCCAACATGCTATCCTGCAAAGGACCAAGCACTATTAAAAAGCGTGAGCAGGGAGCTGCACCAGTGAGCGTTGGCTGCAAGAGAACAGGCAGTGGTTACTTCCCCACTGAACAACAGAAAGAGGAAACACACTGTTCCAGCTACTGAGGCTTCTTCAGGCTAGAAGGGGAGAGAAGGGTGAGAAAAGGGCACACAGGTGATAGAGAGTGCCCACAGGAATGGGCACACAGGTGAGAGAGAGAGTGCCCACAGTAAGAGGCAGGGAGTGAGAGAGAGTGTTCACGGGAATGGGCACACAGGTGTGAGAGAGTGTCTACAGGAATGGGTACACAGGTGTGAGAGAGAGTCCAAGGTAAGAGGCAGGGAGTGAGAGAGAGTGTCCACAGGCAGGGAGTGAGAGAGAGTGTCCACAGGCAGGGAGTGAGAGAGAGTGTCCAGAGGAAGGGAGTGAGAGGATCAGAAGGAGATGCAGCGAAAGCCAAAACAACCCTTAGAAAGTGTTGGGCTCACTTGAAACCTTGCTGGACCCTGAAGGAGATTGTCTGGCTGAGCACAGCTCACTGTTGGTGCTGTGTGAAGTTCGGGAGTGGAACAATGTTAAAGCTTAATGATTCGCCAAAAACGAATATCGCACCCTCATACCGTATGGTATGTCTTGCTCACGAACCTGGCACACAAACGTCCTTGACATGGATGTCGGAAGGGACGAACCGTGGAATGGCAGGAGAGTGAAAAGACCCTATGCGTAGCAACGAGACGGTGGTTAGCCCGGGCTCAGCTGTTCAGGAATGCCGTATAGAAACCTATGCCCTCAGGTGGCGGACGTGGGACAACCTATTGCTAGGCGGGTTTCAGAACATCCGAACATCAATGCTGAGCGTGGGCAAATGAAAGACCCAGAAATATATAGCCCCAGAGAGAGAGAAACACCGGAAGGACAGCAAAGCACAGGAAACTAGGGACAGGACAGAGAAGGAGCGCCCTCTGCAGCCAGAGGGTATGACAGTCCTCTTCAGGTGTCAGTCTTCTGTGGAAACTGCGTTTCCAAAGACATTGAATTCAAAGCAGATGAGTTTTTTTTGGGATGATCGAAGGATCTTAATTTCTGGCACAACATTGACCTCCATGTTGCACCGTATAGGGCTGAGGGACAAGTTTCTTCGCACTGCATATTGTGGACTCACATCTGTTCTAAAATTAAACACTTTGAATTTCAAGTGTATTCCCCCACTGTAGGTAACATTTATCATCCAGAATGTGGGCTTCTGATATAACACAAGATATTCAAATGATCTGCAGCTGGTATAAGCTGCAAATCAGCTAATTGCAACCATGTGAGCTCGAGGAGCTGAAAGACAATGATTTTATTATCTTATACCTGAGTTTCTGAGTGCCTTGGGTTTCACTTGCAAATGAGCTTGAAAGTGAAAATGTTCTCGTCACTGAATAAAAATGCACAATATTCGTTCCTGATACCTTTCTTGGCATCTTTACAGTTTGTAGTTTCTGTTTACCTCTGGGTTTTTTTTAGTTTTGATACCTGTTTTGTGTTTTAATGGCTTATTTATTGTAGAAATATTGTTCCAGAGTTCTAACAGGACCCCCCTGGACACGAGATGATGCATATGGAGGGGTTTTTATCCCGTCAAGGAACATAATATTGAGCCAAGTGTCACGCCCTCTGCGGCCAGAGGGCGCTCCTTCTCTGTCCTGTCTCTTGTTTCTGGTGCTTTGCTGTCCTTCCAGTGTTTCTCTCTCTCTGGGGCTATATATTTCTGGATTGCATTTGCCTTCACTCAGCATTGACTTCTGGATATCCTGAGACCCGCCTAGCACCAGGTCGCCCCACATCCACTACCCGAGGACATAGGTCTCTTTATGGCATTTCCTGAACAGCTGAACGGCTAACTCCCCTCTCGCCGCTACGCATAGGGTCTTTTACGCTCTCCTGCCATTCCACGGTTCGTCCTTTCCGACATCCGTGACACCAAAATGGGCTGGAGTTGAACATTTTAACTGTACAGTGAATCCACCCCATGTGTTGCTGTGTATTAACACCCAGAATATGAGCTTTAGGCCAACACAGGTCTGTACAGACAAGATCAAATGCAGGTGAACTCACATGTTTATTCACCTGTAGATTGTGTTTTTTTTTTGCTGGAACTGGTTAGTCTTGTCCTGAAATAACTACAGCTGCTCTCACACTCAGAAGGTAACGTCTCTCTGTTGCTTCTGCTCTCTGCAGGGATGCTGATCCTGGTGTCTGTGCTGATCTTTGGGATGTACTAGCGAGGACCAGATCAGACCTTCGAGCCTGGAATCTGGGAGTCTCTGGAGAGCCGGCCTAACAATTCGTGTTGAAAAGAATCTGCTTTAATGGGTGTTTTCTGCAATTCTGGTCGGCGTTCAAGATTTGCTGGGACCACCTTTGCAAACAATAAAGCTAAAATAACTGGTTTCACTACTGCATTAATAAATAGCATCTCTGTGGGGAGAAAAACAAAGAGGAGGATGAAGGAGCAAAGGAATTTAAATTCTGTCACTTTAAACGTAGTGCCTTTGCTACAGACTTCACTCTCCACAGACAATCCTTCCCTTCACTCCTGTCTGACTATCAGGCGTGACGCTCGCTCCTGAGACAGTCGTGACCCAGCGAGCTGTGAGCCCCTGATGCTGGAATTTGTGACCGAACACATTTCTGCCGCTATGAAATGAGGTCTTGATGAATGTGGTCTGACCTAGCTTTCTTCCCTCGAACCCGGGACCTTTAGGCCGGATCTACCGCGGTCGTGGCTCTGGGGCTCTGGGGCTCGTACAAGTGCACAAGCGTACACGGTTCGAGACCTGATGAAGCCTCTTCACTCCAACTGGTGCTGTAGAATCCATAGTGAGAGGGGCTCTGGTTTAAGAAAGGTGGCCTGACGAATGATCTTAATCCCTGAAATGACCCCAAGCCATGACAAAACTTCAGATGTTTGTGTGGAGTGTGGGAAACAGATGAATTTCTATTTCCTGTAAATTGTAACTGTTGTAATATATGTATGTCCTTTTTTTAAAAAGGAAATACACCTAGGCCCAATGTGCGGTTCTGTTCTGTTCCTTTTATCAGCCAACCCACTTTAACGTCTTGCCAACACCTGCCCATCCTCAATAATCAGCTGTAAAAATGAACAATTAAAAAACATTTAATGGTAAAAATGGTCTTGTGCGTTCTGTGTTACCGTGGTATTGAATTCTGCTAGAAGAAAACACTTGATTTTATGTGCTTCTCAAAAAGGGACCTGTCATTGTGTCTGTTACTTCGTCACACATCCGATCTAACGTGTGGGTTTTAGCACCACTGGAACACAGCAGACACCCAACCATGACTGTGAAGACACTGGGCTTTCATTGATTGATTGATTGATTGATTGTTGGTTGGTTGGTTGAGTGAGGAAGTGACAGGCACTGGGCTTTGATTGATTGATTGACTGATTGATCGATCAATCGTTGGTTGGTTGGTTGAGTGAGGTAGTGTCAGTGAAACGTGTACTGGCACTGGGCTTTGATTGATTGATTGATTGATTGATCGATCAATCGTTGGTTGGTTGGTTGAGTGAGGTAGTGACAGTGCAACGTGTACTGGCACTGGGCTTTGATTGATTGATTGATTGATCGATCCATCGTTGGTTGGTTGGTTGAGTGAGGTAGTGACAGTGCAACGTGGGCTTTGATTGATTGATGGATGGCATTGGAGAAGCTGTTTGGAAGACCATATGGCCTGTTGAACTAATACAGAAGGTGTTTGATCGCTAAGTGTGGCCACAGGGAAAACTTTGTGGTCAAGGGGACAGCATGCAAACTCCACACAGCAAGTGCTCCGAACCAAAATCAAGCTCAAGTGAGGCAACCACACTGTCAGGCTATTGTACCAACTGCAGAAAATCAGCCCTATTTTAAATCAAGAAACATGCTCAAAAGAGACCAGACAAGTCCATTTACAAGGATATCACATAACATCAGTTTAAATACCATTTTGGATCATTTGTCTTCTGATCTTACTTTTCCATCAGGGATTCATAAACATAAACCTAAATTGGGGTTGATGGGGTTGATTGGGTTTGCTTGACAGGCATATTTAATCAAACAGAGACAATGGACAATATCCCTATTATTTTTCTTGGTCTCTTTGATGTAAAGTGCAGAGTGTGCTTTCTCCAAAGATCCATGCCTTTTGGCCATGACAGGCTTCTGTACCTGGCAGCCATCTTGGCTCAAGGCTCCTACTGAAATTAAAATGGAGCCAAGATGGTTGCTAATTGACAATCAAATCATCAACAGGTGAAATTTGTTCAACTGAAACCACTAACGCTATAAAGCTCAGAAGCATAGCCACCATTTTTTATAGGAGGAAAACAGGTGTGAGACGAATGTCTTTGAAGGTAAATTTGTGACTGGTTTTCATGTCTTTGTTTGTGTAGTCCTCTCTGATGGCTGATGGGAAGGGATTTGTTTAGTTTTTGTGTTTTTGTTTTATTGATGGGTAATTTGTGTAGTTTTTCAAAGAAAATGATGTTTATTAAATATGAGGCCTGTCTGATTTACAAGATGAATTTAATGTGTTTTCTGGATTGGTCTTAAAATATGCACAATTGCCTGGTGCCTGTTTTTTTCCTTCAAAATGTCTGTCAAGACCTACTTAAACTGTAATGAGCTAGACTTTTTGGGTGTATGTGTCACATGGCATAGTTCCATAGTTATTTAAAATCATGAGTAGTATTTTGCTTAAAAAATGTGGTTTTTAGGATATGGTAATATGGGGTGCCCTGATTGCACTGCACAAGGTGCAACTGGATGGTGTGTACCTGAGGGGCTTGGACTTGGGCTGGCAGTGTGGGTGTGCCTCAGTGGTCCTCGTCTCTGGAGCTGTGATGGCTGATACCCTCGGCTTTGATCAGGTTGGCACAGGAGTCCTGTGTCCATTTGCTGTGGTTCCTCAAAGAATGAGGATGAGCTAATGTGGAGAAGTGGTGTCTGGAGCAAGTTATGCGATTGAAATGGATTCATTGGCTTCTTGCAAGGTGCTGGCTGAATGAGATTCAATAAACTAACAAACCGATCACAAGGCTTCTCCTTGCCTGTAACCCTTATGTGATGTCCTTTGTGTGAGCTCTGAGCTTCTGGTGTTCTACCTGCCTAGGGAAGTTTGCCCTTCCCTTTTGAGTTTAATCCTTCTGCCAGGAAGTGAACATAGAGAACACTTCCTTCCTTGACAGTGATGCCGAGCTTCATTGAGATGGATGCAGCAGTCTGTCTCGCACTCCTCCTGCTTGGGAGTTCTGTCCATTTGGGTGTGATGGGATTCAGCACTGGGTCGCCCCCATCTCTGTGTGATCCCATGAGGCTTTGGCACAACTCAACCTCCGCCCAGACCACAGCTGCGCCTTACACCGTGACGGCCTATCCAGCTACTTACAAGCCAGGAGATCAGATCACAGGTGAGGACAGGATGCATGTGGTGTCCTAGAGAACACCCTTCAAATGATCTATCCTGGCCATGCAGGATCTGTGGGGAATGCATTGAAGGAGTTGGGGAGCTAGCTTTACTGCTGATCTGTTTTGTCAGAGGGGTGGAGAGTTGGTAAGTGCAGTCTAATTGTTTTTCACTGCCTAAATAAGAGCTTCTGGATACTCCACTCAAAGCACTTTACAGGTAATGGGGAATCCCACCACCACCAGTGTGCAGCCCCACCTGGATGATGCTCTAGTGCTCTCAGTTGGGAGGAGAGCAGAGTGATGAAGCCAGTCCAGAGAGGGGAGGTTATTAGGAGGCCGTGATTGGTAAAGACCAGGGGGAAACTTGGCCAGGAAGTAACACCCCTACTCTTTTCAAGAAACACCCTGGGATTTTTAATGACTACAGAGAGTCAGGACCTCTGTTTTAAGTCTCATCCAAGGAACACTATTGTTTATATAGTATAGTGTCCCCGTCACTGTACTGGGGCATTAACACTCTTACAGACTGCAGGGTGAGCGCCCCCTACTGGCCCCACTAACACCTCTTCCAGCAGCACCCTTAGCTTTCCCAGAAGTCTCCCATCCAGTTACTGACCAGACTCAACTGCACACCCTGCAGTTGTTCCAGGGTGATATTCCTGCTGGCTAGGTCCAAAATTCACTTAACTTTTCAATTGATCATTAAGTAATTTCAGACCTTTAGAAATGTAATGGCAAACTACAGTACAAAACCTGCTGGACTGTCACAGCTCATTCGTGTCTTTCCATCTGAGAAAAGCAATATCCCAACCAACAAAATGGTTTAGATTTGGCTAATCCGATCAGTTTTATTATTGGTACTTCGAGGACTTACTTCAGGGGTGGGATGGCCTGTCGAAAGGAGATGACAAACTGGGGGGGAGCACTTCTGAAGAATGTGTATGATGAGTTAATGGGGTGGGGGGGGAATTTGTAATTGTTTTTGTGCTATGACCCTTTCTCTCCCTCTTAACAGTGAGTCTGCGTGGGAGTCCAGACAGTTTCCAGGGATTCCTCCTTCAGGCTCAGGAGGTTGGGGGAAACGATTCTGTTGGGTCCTTCACTGTGACTGATTCTGCAACCAGTCGGCTGATTGCTTGCGGTGGCATGATGGTAGGTTGTGTTCCAGACCAGTCTCGGGACTCGAAAGCAGTTTGTTTGTGCTTGTGGGGAAGCTGTTCTGGTTCCTTTGTGTTGATCTGCTGGCTGTTTGATGGGACTTTAAGTTCTTATCCATAGCTGTGCAAGGGATGGCATCCCATCCAAGGAAAGTAGCCAGAATTGGGTTTTCAGTCCCAGCTTTTCCCCATGACTCTTCTGGTAAAGGCTCTGATTTGCCATTATCCTTTCCAGGAAGAATGGTTTTGTGTGGTTTCCAAGCTCGTGGCCCCACAGCTCGTGTCCCATCCTTCTCCCTCCTCCCACAGTAGGGTTGTAATATTTGGTGTCCTCTGCTCTCCAGCTGTCCTCCCAGTCCCACAGGGACATCTCTCTAGGGACTGCTGTGAAATGGTTTTTCCATTTTTAAGGACTTTTTTCCCCTCCCAGAATTCTACTGTGACTCAGGCAAGCGACAGCATGAAAACCTTGGTTGTCGTCACCTGGACAGCACCCACCTCTGGCTCTCTTGGGGACATTGAATTCAGGTGAAGACTACTGCCCTCATGTTAACTTCAGAACACCTGACCTTCACAGGCGTTTCAGAGAGCTTCTTCCCTACTCGCCTTTAAAACAAGGGTTTCTTTGAGCTGTAGACGGGGGAAAGTACCTTTTGTTGTGAGGAAACACTTCACTGGAGGGGCAAGAGATGACTGAGCTTTTATAGAACTCGCAGCATCCAGAAGGATCAAACGGACTGCTAAAGATGTCTTATACAAGACTATACTGTATATAAACTGACAGTATGGTTAATTTAGTTATCAGGTGGCTTACCTCTGGTTTAAGGTTGATAATTCAACTTTAACTTGATTGGGAGCAGTTCAATTTCTATTGGGTTTTATCAAGTCTGTTATGCTTTAACAGGGTATGAATTATTTGTGTTGGGTTACACACCTGTAATGCAAGTGTCCCATATACATTAAATACTAAAAACTATAACCTTGAACATGGAGTGGGACACGAGTACATTCTCCTGCAAAACCTTCCACAGAATATAAACTGCTTAATCTCTTAAAAAGGCTTCCTCAATTTCTATTTCTGAAATACCAGGTGAGAGGAATTGGCAATCTATAACAGTCTTATTGTTCATCTGTCACATGACCCAGTGCCAGACCTATCAAGTCTCCTTTCCATAGCCTCAATTGACCATTATTGTACTCTATATGCTTTCAGTATGAAAGAAGTCCTGTAAAACCACTGATCCCTGTTCCGTCACAGTCTCCCAGCTCACTGTGCATTCTTGAGCTGAAGAAAGTTTTTTACCGCTTGCCCTTGTAGATGAGAGATCTAGTCTTGTCAATGCATGTGTGCAGGCAGGCTTCAGGGATGCACTGTAAAATGAAGAATGTTTCTGCTACTTGCCCTGTTAATGCTGTATGAAAATGGATCAGGGTTCATTCTTCAGCAGTCTTTCCTGGAAATCCTAAACATCCAGGGTTTTTCCTCCATCTTTATTTTTCCAGGGCAACATTTGTGAAGGTGTTGGGCGTGTTTTGGGAAGATGTGAAAAGCTCGCCAGTTCGGGAAGAAGCGACTCTTGCTCCTTCAACCATATTTGGAACCCTAACTGTATGTAAAGGGAAGAGGGGGTGATTGTGGGGGATAGGTCATCTAGATCAGATTTGCAGGTAGTTGACCTTGGGGGGGAAATGGAGTCAGGTGTGTATGTGTGTCTCCTCCCAAGCACCCTGCACATTTAAGGGTTCTCCAAAACATCCATTTCCTGCAATAGAATAACACCAGATCCAGAGCACAGTCCAGCCACCTGGAAGCTGAACACAAGGCTACAATCTTGCAGAGAACTTCCTGCGGACTAATAAAGTGGGCTGTGGTGATGCTTAAATCGAAGGCAGAAAAGACCACTCTCAGTTCAAGTGCATGTCTGGTGTCCTGGCTTCACGGCAGTTTTGGCTGTGGTAGTCTCATTAACCTAATGGTTTCAGTAAGTAGGTTGAGTTGTTGGTCTAATAAATATAGACCCTTGTCTCCCTAAGTAAGGACAGGAAGTCTTGAATTCCCTGTTCACTATTCATGATTTTCTTGGAATATTGGAGTCTTTGGTATGACAGTGTCTCCATGTTGAGGACTGAATATGGAGATGGGCATTGTCTGCTAGAATACCCTGTAGCTGCATAACCAGAACCGAGATGTGTTCATGCTCATACGTCTTGTCCCTTGTTTTAAAGGCACCCATTACCAGGGACAGCTGTGGACGGACTAAATCCTGCTTTGAGCTTCCTTCAGGCTGTGACCCGGCCTCCGATGGAGACTGCCTCTTTGCGTCTGCCACAGCGGACCCAGCAGGACGCGGCGGCGTCTTTATCGAGCTCCAAGGCAACTCCAGCGGTTACATCGCCATCATCGGGCTACCTGGCAACCTCAGCATGGCATGTTTCTACCCTGTTCAGCACTCACTTCCTGACTTTAATGACACCCTCAAAGCACTGAAAGCCAATTACAGGCTACATCTTTAAAATTCTTAATGCTGACTTAACTTACTATAAGAATTGCTTGCACTTATATGGCACTTTTCTGGACACTCCACTCAAAGCAATTTTACAGCTCATGGGGAATCCCACTACTGCCGCCAATGTGTTGCCTCCACCTGGATGATGCAATGGCAGCCACCGTGCTCTAGTACACCCCTCACACCAGCTGTCAGTGAGGACAAAAACAGTGATGAAGCCAGTTTGTAGATGGGGGTTTTACAGGAGGCCATGACCGGTAGATACCGGGGGAAATTGAGAAGAATGTGGTCTTGGTCTCATTACAGGAGTAAGCAATCTCTCACCATGGCTGAGCCTTGCTTCTGCTTGGGGTGAATTTGGGGAAGAAAAGATCAATGATGACTCAGTCCTGTAAGAAATTGGAAATGAACAATGTACCTCTACCCATTTATCAAAAGCATCATGTGGTAAAGATCTAGTTGGGTAGATATGAAAGGTGCTTAATTTCCAACTCAATGTTTTTCAATGAGGCTCCTCTACCAACTTGTGTATTTCAATCTGCTTGGCTTTTATGCCCCCCAAAACTTTCCTAGATGAAAGATTTGAAGAATTATAGCAACTGCTTTGTAATATTTCTAAAAGTCTTGACTTTGTGTGCATTTTAAAACCTCAGGAAGAACCTTGTCCTGTTCTTTCTTGTTAATCAAAGTCCCAACATAATGGTTCCTCCAGCTCCCTGCTCATTTTTGCCCCTCTGTTGTAGGGAGATGCCTTTGTGTGTGCCCAGCCTGAGAACGCCACCTTCTGGTTCGTGCATGCCGCGTTTGATGGGTCCTCCCTGCAGGAGAAGGCTGAGGTAGGTCCCTGGGTTTCCACAGATCTAGAGCTCTAATCTAGAGGCACTTCCTGAAGATGATGCTAGGAGAAACTTGGGACCATCCAGATGGTCTTGATCAGTTTCATATGGGGAATAAGAGCCTCTCAATTATGTCAAGACACGACTTTACAAGTGTGGAACCCTGACATTTCCAGTTATGTTAGTCTGAGATGGCCAAGTATTACTTAATCCATTGAGCCAACCTCCAGTTACAAGAATGTACTGTAACAACTTAATTCAGTTTGTCCACTGGTGGCAAGATTTGATTCAAAGATGCTGACAAAGCACTGATCAGTTTTAGAAACTGCATTGAACCCCCATATTTTGAAGAGAATCTATCTGGTGTTTTGTCCGTATTGTGAATTAAATGTAGATTATATCCCTTGATCAGTCCTTCTTCTCCTAGAAGCAGAGGATCCACTGACCTTAACTGCTTTTGCTTTGCAGGCGGGTGTTGATACCATTAAAGGTTCTGTGGAAGATGACCTCATTAAGTGCTCCTTCATCGTGCGAGATCTCCTGGAACACAAAAGCGGAGTTGTCTCTTTGGCTGTTGGGATGTTTGCAAATGGTGAGTTGTGAGTATTCTGGCTGATTCCACCCTCAAATGGGGACATTTGCCCCAGCTTGCCTGTTTAGTAGTTAGTGTAGGGGGCACAGTTCATGGATGAAGCTTGGAAAGGTATTGGAATCAAGTTGGCTCCTTTTTCTGTTTCTTAAAGGTAGTTCCATCAAGACTTAATGTGCATCTGACTCCTTTATAGATTCTGCCCCACAAAGTACACTGTGGTTTGCGATGGTTAAAACCATTGTGACCATTAAATTAAGTGCATCTCCTGCAGCATGCATGTTATGAGACTGGATGTGTTCTCTAATGGCTCTAATGGATGACTTTTTGTGTAGTAAGGGGAAAGGGGTTATTGCGCGACGTCTCAATCAGGCAGTGAAAGTTAATTTACTGTGAACTTGCAGGAACGCTTGGTGATCCCGACGTACAGCTCACCACGAATGTCACAGTGGATCTTCTGCAGTTCGCGTTTCATGGTAAGCCATCCCACTGCCGCCGCCACCACTGTGAATTCCCATTCCATTGCAGTTTGCCATGTTTCTGATCCATTGCATAATGGGGATTGTGAAGAAATCCACCTGAACTACTGGTGGTTATGCTAAAGTTGTAGGGGATAGCTTTCTTTTTCTTTGGCCATATGTTAGTCATTGGGAACTAAAGTTTTTTTTTTTTGTTGTTGTTGACTCTTGCGATCGTACTTAAACCTGCTGTCGGTGTTAACAGAATTGACCAGCGTTCCGGTTTCCAGCACCTCGTCAGCTTTCTTCAGCACTACACCACCCTCAACTGCTGTTCATTCAACTACAATTGGCAACTTTACTGTAAGTTAACCCATTAGTAGCTGAAATGACTCGGATCTGTAGACTTCTAAAGTATTTGTGGTACTAGAAAGCTAAGCAGTTAATTGTGCATTAACATTACACTTGGTGTACATTTCTTGGTCTATACATTTTACCTTTTTGGTCTTTTAATTCCAGATCCTACTGTCTTACCAAGATGAATACTAGTACTGCACAACTTAAATAGCCAATCAAATATAATTCATCTGTTTGACCAGTTTTCCGTTAGTATGGGCTAGAGGTCCCATTCCCTCAACATCAAATGCTACTTTGACCTTATTGTGAAACAATTCCAGTTCAACTCCTTTCTGCTATATAATAGAGACTTCTATTGGTGGGTTCAAATGAAGATTAGTTGCAGGTCATTGATCAATCACTAGTCAGCCATACCGAAGGGCTCTCCTTGCTCAATGAACCACATTGAGCATCTCTTCAGCACCATGACCTGTATGAGCATGAGACTGGGATCCCTTCAACCACTGATCGCTCTCCATTGCTAGGGGTCCATCACCAGTGATGGCTGCCAACAGACTAAGACCTGCCTGGCAGTGCCGAAAGGTTGTGATCCAGCCAATATGGGCAACTGTCTCTTTGTGTCCACTGCCTACCTTCCTGACCAAGCCGATGACATCTTCTTTGAGCTTCAGGGCCTGTCTGGGGGCTACATCGCTGCTATCTTATCTGCAGACAATCAGACGGTAAGAGCCCCTCCAGAGCTGGTCCTCTCCTGGCTGTCTTGGTATAGAGGGACTGCTGGATTATGGGTTACAAGGACTGTCCGATTTCTAAATGACCAAGATTTTGAAAAGGTCTGCATCCCATTATGGAAACTCGATGTCAAGAAATTGGATTTGGACCTTGGCATAAGGACTCCTATAAATCAATACTCTTTGATATCGAAAGGAGGTCTTTAGATTTTTATTAATTTCATTTGGTGTGGATCCAACTATCTCACTGAACCATCATTCTACAAACTATCATGTTTCAGGCCCTTCTAAAGAACTGCCTATGAAGCCAAATCTGTTCTGAAATTATTTTAATCTTAAATCAAAAAAAGCTCAACACAGTAAATGTCTTTTGAAAGATGTTTTTCACCTTCTACATTGCCTGTTAGTGTTGTAAATGGTTGAGTTATCCTTTTTGAGGGTTTCAGTGTTTCCAGGAGGAAAGCAATGTGGGGGAGTCTCATCAATGATGGGGGTTTTCCTGTGGCTCCGCAGGGAACTGCGTTTGTGTGCACTCGTGAGGAGAACTCCACGTTCGGGTTCCTCTGCGCCAGTTACAATGGGTCAGTCCTGACGGAGAAAAGCCAGGCAAGTCCCCAGCAATGAAGATTATATTTAATATCACCCTGATGGTGAAGGGTGGGGGACAACTTGTGTATTGGAGGCAATGCTGGAGGGAGCTGGTGCTCCAGAGTATTGACCCTTGAGTGTTTTTTAGATCTAAAAATCATTCAAGATGCAATGTCAAGCCACACTGGTCAAGCATACACTAGTCCTCAAGTTTGCAGAAGTGCATCATGTTTGGCCAATGTTCAGGTTACATTGAAGCCAAGACCGGCACCAAATGCATTAGATCTGGAGTGTGCGCTCCCACATTTTAGGATGGTCTGTGTGAAATGTGGCAGAGCTGGAATTCAATGTGCATTGTCAAGGACTTGCAGTGCCTTGACAATGAGCTCATTGCTCTGAATGAGCAGTAACTCAAGCGGGCACTACATTAAAGTGCGTCTCAAACTAAATGCAAGAGGCTCTATAACCAAAGGGTGGTGAGTGTGGGACACAATTCCCCCACCCCCCAACCCTGCTGTCATTGAAGCCAATACCCTGCTTTCTTTCATGAAAGGTCTGGATGATGTCCTGGGATCAATTATTTACTGACTACCCAATTACACAAACAGACTTGTGCCTTAAGATTACTCACAGTTGAAAGCCGTTCAGCCCATGACGAGCTTCCCCTCTGTCCTTCCAGAACAACATCGCGTCTGTTAAAGGCGCCGTGGACGAGGATGTCATTCAGTGCACCTTCATCGTGAAGAGCCTTGGCACTCGGCGGCGGCGGGCAGTTAATAGGGATTTCTTTATCCTCCTCGCTGTAGGGGATCACAGGGGAGGTGAGGTTTCATGTGTTCTTCTGTGGTCTGGAAGTACCTTAGGGAGCCCATATTCTAATGCGTGCTATAACCTGAGCACTTGAAGAGCTTCAGTGTGGTTGTTTATGGGACACAATCCTAGACCTGGGAGGGCCCATGTCTTCCAATTTCTGTCCCACCTGAGCTCTATGTAATTTAACTAGGCTCAAATGGTGTCCTATGGGGAACGGGACTTGTGTAGAAAAGCACTTTCACGAGTCGGCTCTGAAGGACACCAACCCTGGTTGATTTTTAGGAAGTTGGAACAAATCCAAAACGATTTTGGGGCCCCCTGTCCTAGATGAGGACCCTGACTCCTCTAGTAGTTTAAGAATGGTTTTAGTCAGGTAATGCGTGTGACAAGCATCTATCAGGTTCCATTCATTATTGGCATGATAAAGCAACGGCTGGAGTCCAAGCACTCCTGGTTGTGTGAATGAGGGGAGACCTTCAAGCTTAATTTTAATTTGTTCTAAGCTTCTGACTGGGAAGCATGCTGGTGCAGTGGATGGCATTGCTGCCTCACAAGGCTGAACTTGGGTTTGCATTGGTTTTTGCCGAGTGCTCTGGTTTCCACCTAATACCCAAGGACTTGCTGGTAGGTGAACTTGGGTCTGGTGTGAGTGATTGCTGGCTCACTTACTTGGTGTGCGAGATGGACTGATGGATCTGGGGGTGTATCTCCACCTTGTGCCCGGTGCTTGCTAGGATAGGCTCCACTTCTGCAACCCTGAACTGCCTAAAATGGTTAGTAAACTGATGGCTGTTTTAATGATAGACTTGACAAAATGGGGGACACTGATTTTTAATTCACAACTGTGTGATTACATTTTGCTGGTAGCTTCTATGGTCT